AGCAACAGCAGCTAATTTCCTCCTAACCCTTGCTTCTCTCTTGTTTGCTCCCCCTCTCTTTCACACACACATACACACACACACACACACACACACACACAAACAAACAACAAACAAACACACACACACATTCCGCTCATTTAGCATACTTTATCTCACACTTTTTATGCTGGAAGACTTGCAGCCAATGCTGCTCTGGCTGAAAGCCAGAAGCAAACGGGCAAAAGTGAAACCTACTTAGGAAAGAACCTAAAACAACGATCACAAATGTCAGCAAGAGCATGCATATTCTCTCTCCTCTCTCACTCACACTCACACACACACACACCCACACACACCCCATTTATGGGGCTTTATATCTTCAAAGTGTTCAGCAAACTTAGCTAATTAAGGTGTTGGCTGTTTGAAGCTGCAGGTAGTAACGGATGCTGGCAGCCGACTACCAGATTAAAGCGAACAATTGCCATGTATGCATGTTCTCTGCTGAACTGGTAAGCAAAACAGAAAAGAGAGTCATAATTAAGGCTGAAAGCATTAATTGACACAATTATCTGATTAAAAATAATAGACGGATATTTAAAGTTGGGGTTGGCTGCTCCACCTACTTGCCACCACGAAAGAACATTCCCAGGCTGAAAGCGCTACCGAAAGTAATTTCAGAATGACCCGTCATTCATAGATTAAGGAAACCTTCCACAGCATAGAACCAATTTGTCTGTGACTCTGAGCTGGTTTTGGACATTAAAGTGATGTGGTGTCATGAAGACGCATGGAGGAAACTTAGCATGCCATGATCTCTGATGTCATTTTTGATGGAACCTTATGCAAAAATCACATGAGTTTATAAATATTTAGACCAAGGCCCTGCTTGGATACAATGCCTATATTTCTGATCCACATAGCTGTCAACTTTTCCCTTTTCTTGCGAGGAATCCTATTCAGAATAAGAGAATTTCCCTTAAAAGGGGGAAAATGCTGACAGCTATACCTTGCCGTGGTGTGTGAGCTTGAACGTTCCTATGATCCTTTTGAGTGAAACTGTCGGGAGACCTGTACCAAGGCGGTAAGGTCAAGCGGGAGAAGCTAGACAACGAATGATCCAAGAAGTCCTCAACGGCAGAACAGGTGGAAGGTAATAAGCTGTATGTTACAACAGCTGTGAAGTTGGATAAAGGCTGCAGAACTTTAGGCGACGACACTACGAGTCGTCATGATACTCATACCATCGGAATAGAGCCTTACTGCAAAGACTGTGCGTTGGTCAGCGTGCACTGATCTACACACATAAAACAAATTCACACACAGGCGTCTTCCAAAAACCCATCCCAAACTCAAACCCAAAGAAGTCCCATGGCAATCAACAAATGGTAACGGGGGCAGGACTGTGAAATCTGGAAGCCCTTAGTCATGAACCAGCACATGGGTGGTGGATACAGATTCAGTGCTCTGACTCAAGGAATGAGGCAGTTGAGCAGCTCGGCAGCTCTATCCATTACTGAGCAGCCCTATTTATGATCCACTCTGCTCACCTCAAAAAGGGGGAGGGGCTAGACAAGGTGCCCTAAACATAGTCTGCCTCCCCTTTCCCCTGACTGGATTACCGCGGCCAGTGGGGTCACCACCCAGCAGCCGTAAAAGACAATTGATCTTTGGAACATGGAATATATGGACTTTGTTGGACAACACAGATAACGTCCCAAACGCAAGACTGTCATCATTGCAAGAGAGTTGCGACACTAACATCGTGCTTCAAGAAACTCAAAGAGCAGGAGAGGGACAACTGAAGGGAGAAAAAGGAGGCTACGCATTCTTCTGGAAAGGTCTACCTGAACAAGAATGCAGAATACATGGAGTAGGATTTGCTATTGAAAACGATCTTGTGAAGCTCTTGTCAGAAGTCCCTACTGGCATTAATGAGCGACTTTCAACCCTTCAAATAAAACTCACCAAAACCAACCACAATTTTAAGTGCTTATGCACCAACACTGGATGCCAATGAAGACATTTTATTATTATTTATTCTCAGCTGGATGCCATCCTATCAGAGACACCTAAGGGGATAAAACTATCCTCCTGGGTGATTTTAATGCAAGAGTTGGGTGAGATTATGATCTGTGGCCTGGGACTATTGGGAAAGAAGGAATTGGCAACAGCAACCAGAACAGAATCTTGCTTTTGACTCATGCCCAGGGCACATGAGAATTACAACTTTTAAGCAACCCATCTTGGCTGACATTGTATCCACCTATTATGCTTCTATATTAATTTTATGAGTCATTATTTTTATTATTTCGTTCAGAAATGAAACCTTTTCCATCCCATCGGGTGTCAGAAGCAGGATCTGCATGCATACACCTAAGTGATTTCAGGGAGAAAACAAAGATTGGGTGGGGGAGTTCGCTCCCACCCCAACCCTTGCTGCAATTTCTCTCCTTCCCCACTCTTTGCAAAAGGTCTGGCCTGCTCATGAAGTGCGCGTGAGGCAAGCTGGGGACAGCTGGGAAGGGCTTCAAATCTGGGAACAACTTGCCCCTGAACTTGTTGCCCACTGCTGCCACCTCCTCTCTGGCCTCCTTTGATTCCCCTGTTGCATGCCGGGACTTCCCTGGGCCTCCTCCAATCACATCAGGCAGTGCGGCGGCGGCAGTGTAAAGGGGCCGACAGGAAGATCAGGTCATTCACAGGTCTGAGAGGGAGACGTGAGGCTAACGTGCAATTAGTTTCTTTATTAAGGAAAGTGGGGGGTGATACAAGGAAGGTCATAAAGGCAACCCCCTGTTGGGGTTTGAGCTTGCAGTCATAGCACCAGGTGGTTTGCTGCAAGCTCAAACCCTAACACCCCCATGAAGAAGTTGCTCAAACTAGTGTGCAGGCCCTCCTTCGCTCTCTAGCCAGCGTGGTGTAGTGGTTAAGAGAGGTGGACTCGTAATCTGGTGAACCGAGTTCGCTTGCCCGCTGCTCCATATGCAGCTGCTTGGTGACCTTGGGCTAGTCACACTTCTCTGAAGTCTCTCAGCCCCACTCACCTCACAGAGTGTTTGTTGTGGGGAGGAGGAGAAAGGAGATTGTTAGCCGCTTTGAGACTCCTTAGGGTTGTGATAAAGCAGGATATCAAATCCAAACTCCTCTTCTTCTTTTCCTTGCTCATGCGTGGAGGAACTCAACAGCTGTGATACAGAAGAAGGCAAGTGCCTCTTCGAAGCCTCTTGCTGTACAAATCTCATCCAAATATGTTAGAAGAGCCCTTTTCCTGTGTCCATGCATAATAGGAAGGGGTGGTGGAGGGTGGCAGAGCTACTTGGGGATTAGCCAGGCTACTTGAGGAACAGAGTTTGTCCACAGGCCTCCAGTAGCTTCTCTCTCTTGTGCATTTCCTGCAGCTTGGGAAAACTATGTACATAGAAGCACCCTTCCACTGTGCTTATATCTTAGCTTCATGGGAAACCATGGATGCAAGGCCTGTGGCTCCTTATCTGATCCAGCTGCCCAGGCCACTTGCCTGTTAGCTGGGAAAACAGCAACAATGCTGACTGATTTAACACTGTATTTTATGTTATTGACCACCTGGTCCTTTGGTGAAATGCAGGTAAGGAATCCAGTAAACAACAACAACAATAATAATAATACTGTCATGTTCTGCATTTGTCCCTTTTATCAGCAGGAAGATTCTCTGAGAAACGATCAGAAAAAAGTCAAGATGATAGAGAAACCAAATCACCCCCGTTGTCAGGTCACAAAGACTCCAGTAAAAACAAGTGAGTACTTGAAGTTCTCGTGTAAATAAGTGGGGGCAGTGGCTCCCTTTTTGTGCTTTCAGCTTAAATCATTGTTTTGGCTAAAGAATGGCCTAAGTCTACAGCATGGCTATTGTGGCTGTGACTGTCTCAGTTGTAGGAGTCTAACCTTTCTACTGCTTGCACCACTAAAGGCTGTTGGGACTGTGCTGGCAATATCCAGAAACCCCCGTACACGCGTTGTTGAATATTCATGTTACGAAAACAGTTAGCAAATATTTGCTTTGTTATCAGTGCTGCGTTTGTTCAAACTGTCTTTCCCTTAGATAAATCTGAGGACCTAGTAGATCCAAGGCTTGCTGGTAAGGACACTTATTTTTAAAACTTTATAAAATTGCCCAGGCTTCGGGCACCAAATCCCTAAACCCTGGATGCGCCTGGGATCTGTGTGTTCTTAACTCTCGCCAGAAGGGGAAGAGCTCAGGCAATTTAGTTTGGGTGCTTAGAACAGGGAGTCCTGCCCTTTCGCCTACAGAACAACGCTTGGTAACATGTGGAAATATCTTACTGAGGGAGTGTTCCTGCAGTCCTGGCTGATGCACATGGATGCATATGCACATGTGCATATTTGGATTGGGGGCATAGTGAATTGTGATGAGGATGCAGCATGTTTTTACATAAAGAATAAATCAAACCATTGTTTCTTGAACTTAGCTCTCATTTCTTATTGCAGTTTTTTATTCGTTTAAAAGGAAAAGGGCCCTGAAATCATGTTTTGGACCTGGTTAGAACAAACCACAGTTTCCCACATTCAAATATGATGGGGGACAGAAAATGGGAAGCTCTGAACTTCCTCTGTTAGTGCATGGAGAAGGGAAGGGTTTGCCACAGCCTGTTCTAGCAGGAGGAAATCATAGTTTTGCATTACTTTTGAACCAGGCCACAGACTATGAAGAAGTTTTTGGTCTACATTGCAACATAGTTCTGCAAAGTGCTGTGGAACTGTGGAATTAGCCAGCCACAAGGTGTAGGTCCCTAGCTGATTTTGGACTACAACTGCTATCATCCCTAGCTAGCAGGACCAGTGGTCAGAGATGATGGAAATTGTAGTCCAACAACAGCTGGGGACCCAACTTTGAGAAACACTGAATTAAACCAAGATAATCTCCAAAGAGCTAGTCTTGAGTGTTAGATTTGAGCATGTGTGATACAGCTTCACGTTCCAAGTTCTGCCTATAAAGCTTATGTAACATATCCAGGCCTGGTACTGGACTTTGAAAAACAAAGTATTATGAATATTGCAGTTTCACGGAGGACCAGTGCTATGTAGCGGTTAGGGTGTTAGGACTGCGGGAACCCAGGTTCAGATCCTTGCTCAGAATACATATTGGGTTAGCCACTATCTCTTAGCTCAAACTACAGCATAGGATTGTTTTGGGGGTGAAATCTTGGGCAGGAGTGCCATGCATTCTGCATTGAGCTCCATGGAGGAAAAGCAGCATATAAGTGCACCAAATAAATAGTACAAAAAGATACAAAAATTCTGGTGGCCATACTAGAATCTGCAACAATAAATCCTTTGAATCTTAAAAGAGCACATTGTGCCGGATGTTCTTACTATCGTTGCACTCCTACGAATAATCATTTTGCATTCTGACAATATTTTAACGTTCTTTGCCAATCCATTGTCTTACTTAATCCTAAAGTAATTGGCAGGATTCTGTAGATAAATATGTATGCAGGGTGATTGCAATCTTGAGCAGAAGGAAAATAGGAACAGGTGGTACCTCTGAGTGTCTTTTGTTTGAAACTTGCTTGTTGTGCTATAAAAGGACTGCATTGTGGTCACTTTTCAGTCTGGCTGAGAGAATTCTTAGCATTGCAACTGTGAGTCGCTGCCCTAGTTTCTGACCCTATGTAGTGCAGAGACCACAAACGAAATCTATGTTCAATGTACACAAAATGACTTACTGTGACTTAAGCCATGGATCTGAAAGGGTTCAAGAATGACACTGGGAGTCCTTTTGACAGAGTCTTCAAAAGTGTTTTGTTTAAAAGCCAAATGTTTCCCTGCACAGACTAATAATACTAATAATAAATGGTTCTGCATCTGCAGGGGGGCTTTGAACAACAGCCATGTTCCTATGATTGCAAACCACTTTTGAAATGGGAGGATAGCTTCTTAAGTTCTTCCACATTTGTCCCGGACATTCAAAGCAAAAATTAAAAAAAAAAACAACCCAGTAGTTTGCCCAAACTTCTGGGTCCACCTGAAAGTAGCTCTTTGGACCTCAGACATTGTGGGGACCAAATTGTTATGTCTCCCAGCAGCTACATTTAATCGGATCCTTAGCTTCAGTTCTGCTTTAGAGACAAAGCCCAAGGGTGTGTTATTCTGGATACATGTTTGGCTTCTGCAGATGGTTAATGTGCAAATGAATTGCCAGAAAGTCCCTAATTCCCCCTCCCCACTGCTCTTGATGAAGTCTTTTCAGCTGTCTGTTTTGCAGCATCTCCCACTAAATAAACAGAGCCCCTGTGTTTCCCCTTCCACCAATGAAGGCTTTACAATAAGCCATATGGCTTAAAACTGATTTGACTCGCCCTCTCCAGGATTTCAAAGCCATCAGTAGAGAAACAAAGACAAGAGATGCCACTGCCGCCGCCGCTGCCGCCTCCACCACCGCCACCACCGTTGTCTCCTGCTCAGAAACAAGCCAAGATGGCCCAGAAGAGGCCAAAGAATGAAAGCGGTGCCTGCAGCCAGCCTCCTGGTCTCAGTATCAGCACTGCCAAGAGCAAGGAAAGCCACAAGGATTCTTCATCCTCCAAGCACAGGAAACTGGAGGGGAAGCCTTCCGAAAGCTCAAAAAGCAACAAAGTAGGTGTCAATGACTAATTTGCAATTGGAGCCTTTGATGATGACCTCTTCCTTACAGGGCTTGACCTTGGGCTGCTCAGGGGAGAAGGTTTCAAATACTTATTTGGGGGACATTTTAAGGCTTGCTCCAGTCTCCCAAGCAGCCCCTATTATTAATAACTGTTTGGTGCAAGAGCTGTCAGTCTGGGAACTGCCTCTACTGTATATACTTTCCCCTTTTCAGTGAGTTTCCCATTCAACATTTTCTGCCTAGTTTATTTGTGTCTCTTTTCCCCCTGGGGTGGGGTGGGGGGTAGGTGGAGCAAGCAGGCTGGCGTTACGTATAACATAAACCACTCTGTCGTGACAGGTGGTATATAACTTTAATAATAAATGAATAATACTGAAGTGTTTAAAAATACATTCATCGTGTTGCAGGTTCACTCCTTGGTATCACACATATTATCACACTTATTTATTATATATATAATATATTTTAAAAGATTTAAATACCACTTTTCACTTAAAGTGTACCAAAGCCTTGTACCGCATAGCTCAAAATACAGTAATCGAATAATGAATGAGTTGTTGTAGCAAAGTTATCCTGATCTAGGAAAGATTGTAGCTTGTATACCAATCCAAAGTTGGTACATAATCCATTTATGGAATTCATTGCTCCAAGTTACGATAATGGCCACCACCTAAAATGGCTTTTTATAAAGCATGGCATAGATTCATTGGGGGAGGGGGTCTGTCTGTGGCTGTTGACCATGATAAATAAATAGAATATCCATGTTTCAATGCGTTGTACATTGTAATAGCATCTAGCAGCCAAAAGAAGGGTAGGATTGATGTTTTCAAGCCCTGCTTGTGTGGTTTCCAGAGGCATCTAGCTTGCTCCTCTTGGGACAGTGCTGGACTAGCTAAAACCTTGGCCTGATCCAGCAGAGGTTTCTTTCTGTTTTCATGACTGTTCCCTTCTGTCAGGAAGTAGAACTGGAAAGGCAGAACCATTGCTGTGCAATTTGGCTTCAAATAGTTTTGAAAATGAAGCCATCGTTCTTGTCTGTCGCTTTTTAAAACAGATTTCTTCATAGTTCTTTTCCAATATGCATGCCAATTACACATATGGCAAGGAAGAGCAGTGAAGAAAATAAACCCTTAAACCCTGCTCCCAAATGGGAGGGTCTGGATTTGTTGTAGCGGTGTGTTATTGATCAACTGATCAATCGGTTATTTGAGTTTGTTTGTTGTTCGCAAATGTTAAGTTAAATGTTTCACTGCTTTAGAAACAAGGGGCAATTCTGCTAGCTAACCTTCAGAACCACATTTTTCAGACCTCTCTGAGAGTAACCTTAAGAACTTCTGTCACCTGCATCCAGCTGAAAAAAAATTCAGCAGGCTGTTCATGTTAGTTTCTGTTTTGCCACTGAGCAGCTGCTTAGAGTCACAAGGCTCTGTTTACATTCCAGAGACAGTCCAGGCTGTTGGAAGTCTCACGGGAGAAGAGAGACGGATGTGACGTACTGGTTTTCCTCTTCCTTTGTTTCAGTTGCTCTCTGCTTTCATAGAGAGAGGATGTATATTTCTTTGCTGTCTGCGTAGCTTAGAAATAAAGCATAGCATGTAGCCATAAATCACTTCTGCATGCTGCTGGAAACTCTGCTGAATGGGGGAATGTACCTTGGAGCCTTATCAGAGGCGCAGGTCATTAATTATTGTTAGAGGCGATTCCGAAGGCTCGGCCGGAAGATGAGCTTTATCAGCTTGGCCGAGTGGAGATTCCGACAGTTCACCCATCATGTGGGTGAGCAGCAGCCATATTACTTCCTAACACTAGATGCAAGTTCATGCTCACTTGGGGCTTTTGAATCAAAGGGGTTGGGGAGAGAGTCCGTGACTTATTCTTTTCCACCCTCTAGAAAATATTCACCCTGTTGGAACATTTCTAGTCAGAAGCCAAGTTTCCTCATCATGCTGTGTTAAAAAATGAAGTGAAAAGAGATGTCCTGGAACAAATAAATGCATGCTCATCTTGGAAAGGAAAAGTTTTGATGTGGCTATTTTTTTCCTGAGTACATAACTTATCTGATGCCTTTCCTCTTTGACTTCTCAGAGATCTGCAGATGATGTTCCAAATCCTTTCCCAGTGCCTTCTTTGCCAAATGGTACCTCCAAGCCAACCAAACCTCAGGGCAAGCCGCACAAGTAAGAATGCAGTTTCTGTTCCTTTCTGGTTAAGTTCTCTTTTGAGCTCTCGTTTTACCTTCCTTGTTTTCTTCTCTTGTCAACCACCTAGCTTGCCATTCTCTGAAACAAAAAATCTTTTTTTTTTAATGTCTCCCCTACCCCACCTAAGTCCAGATAGAAGTCATTTTGCTTCTCCATTCAAACTTTCCCCTCATATGGCTTGTACACATGGACCCCTCGATTTATTTTTACAGCTTCTGATGTAGTCTAAATTTTCAAAGGGTGTATATGATAGCAACAGTCAGAATTAGAACCAAGAGGATGCTGTGTATCCTTTGTCTCTTGCATTTCAAGCAAGGAAGCATGACTGAAACTATGGCATATTAAGGTATTAGAACCCTGTAGTGTATCTCTTGAAAATTCAGGAGCGTGGGTTGCATTTTCAAGTGCTTCTTCTCCCGGTTTAAAAAATATATCATTGCACATATTAAATTAGCATACTGGGGAGAGAAGTTTAGCATTGTTCTCTCCCTCATGCTAGTTTATTGAATGCAGGGAGTCTTTTAGTTGGAGAAGCATAGAGACATCACACATAAAGATCTCTCTCTCTATGTCTTGACAAGTGTTAGGCAAGTAGGTAGTTTCTTTGGTGTAAAAGATCTGAGTTCATTAATGCACGTTAAGAGGTTTGACTAATTCAACCTGTGCAGAGCAAAAGCATGTACATTTTTCAAAACTAGTATTTAATTTACTTTTTTAAAAAATAACTGAAAAATCCCATTCTGTCTTGTCTCTCACTTCAGACAACATCCAGTGGAATTTCACTTAAACGAGGCCAAAAGGTTGAGGCACAAAGCCGACACAATGGTAAGTGCTTTGACTTAGTGCTGGATGCAAGAAAGTTTGCCCAAAGTTCTGAGCAGCCGGATAACTAAACTCCCTTCTACTTAATTAAAGTGTAGAAATTCTGTGGTTGGAACTCATTTCCTGCATTTGCTCAATCTGGGCTTCAGTGTTATGGTTCACGACACGAACAGCTTGTGTTACTCAGGCCTGGTGCTCTGTGATGGTCTTCTGTGGCAGGGGAGGCTACTTCCCTTTGGCCTCTGTGGTCTTGGCAAGGCATTAACAGCACCAAGAGAGCTTGGCTTGGGACATAATTTCTGTTCCGTCATTCCCCACCCCCACTTCAACCCTGCTTCTCCAACAGTCTTTTTAGACATGAGCTGTTTATAGCATTCTGTCCACTGCTTTTTAAAATATGGGGGGATGTTCAGAAGTGGTGTACGCCACATTCTGGTGATGTACAGCCCATTCTGCTACCTCATTCTGAAGGCTACAAAGTTCAATTCTGGGTTTGGTTTCTGGTTGTTGCTTGGAGTGGGACAGAATATAGGGAATAGTCACTTAAGACATGTATGCTACTCAAGTCACATAACACAGCCTTCCCCGACTTGGTACACAGCGTTTGCTTTTGGACTACAAGTCCCATCAACCCCAGTCATCTATTTGGGATGTTCTGAAAGGGCATAGCAACATGCTGTCAAGTAGCTGACATTTGCCAGCACCAATAGATGGACTTTGCTTATTCAATTATGAAAGTAAATTCTTTGCTTTCTAATAGCCCCTGGTCCTTCCCTTCCCTCCTGCTTTGAAAAAGCTAAAAAGCTTTTTACTGATTAGAGAAAGCTAGTCTGGTTACATAACGCCATTTACCTTAAGCAGCAGTAATGAGTTCTTCCCTCTTAGATGCATCAGTTTCTGAGTGCATTGTGTTCCACTGGATGATGTAATCATGCTTAACAGCAAGCAGTGAATAGATTTGGTGCTTCAAAATACATGTGCGTCCTTTGAAATGGTCTTGTTAAACTTTTGCACAGTTCCGTTCCATTCTTGGGACCCACCTCTGCCCAGTTGTTCCGTGTGTTTTGGGCATGGATTACAAATGCGTTGCCCATGGGTCACATGCACCCAGAGAAGCCATCCCTGGAGACTGCTGGGTCCCATCCCCCTGCCCCCTCTTAAATTTGGCCTGGGTGAAAAGCCTCCCATTGGCTCCAACAGAAATATATTTTATCAAGCCTAATTGTTAGTGGCGGGTGATCTTCCTGGAGACTGAAGCTGGAGGGAGGAAAGGTTAACTCTTGTCTCGCTAGCTGCAGTCTCCAGGAAAACCACCCTAGCCTCCCAAGAAAATTAAGCTTGGAAAAAAAATCACTCAAGGAGGACTTCAGATTGTTGCTTGTTTGCAGTAAACAAACCATAGCTAAGCATGTTAAGTTAAAGGGGGAGCAGGGGGAATGCCTTCAAATGGAAATCGGCTGCCATCGTGAGGCTAGAGGTTCCCATGTCAAATTCTTGGCGTCAGTCCAAATGATTGCACAGAGCATTGAACCCTTGTTAGTTGACCACCGTTCTTCTTCTCTCCAACAGACAGATGACATTGGAAAGGCCTTCAAGTACTTGGATGCTGCCCTATCCTTGATTGAGTGTGGCATTGCCATGGAATCTGATCCCCTCTCACCAAAGCCAGCCTATAGCATGTTCGCAGAGACCATAGACCTCATCAAGTAAGTGGGACACCCCTTCCTTGCCTGGTAATAAGCACGTCCCCTTATGCTCATACTCCCAATTTCTACTCTACCTACACTAGGGGCCTTCCCCCTATCTTCTTGCACTTTTTGCATTGGCGAAGGACCTGAGCTCAGAAGTGGCGCCATTACGAAACAGAGAAATCTACAGCTATATACTTTTCCTTTGAAGATAGCAGGTGGGCTATCTAAATGAGAAAAAAATAAGTAAGCCCATGCAATTTAGAAGCCCTCCCCCATTCCACCCTGAGCCAAATAATCAGTTTTCTAAATCGGCACTGTTTCCTCAATGTCAGCAGGACTATCTGGAATCAGTAAGCAAGTCAGGATGTATGTTTTCATCATTAAAAACAGCCATTTATTTTATTTTGTTTTTTGCTTTCTCACAGATTCATAATGACATTAAAATACTTTGCGGACTCTTCAACAAACACGCATGAAAAAATCTTCATTGTTTTTTGGTGAGTGGATCTTCTGTTTTCAAGTGTTCTAGTTTGAGAAATAAGGTGGGGGGGCATTTTAAAAGAAAAAGATAGGTACATTAAGTCCAGTGGATTCAAGTTACGTGAAAGGAGATTCTGACTAAACCTTAGAAAGAACTTTCTGGCAGTGATAGCCATTCGACAGTGGAATGGGCTCCCTTAGGAGGTTGTGGACTCTCCTTCATTATGGCCATCTGTCATGGATGGTTTTGTTGTGATTCCTGCATTGCAGGGGGCTGGACTAGATGACCCTTGGGGTCCCAACTCTACAGTTCTATGATAAGCTGATAATGTAGGAAAAACCCTTATTTTTACCCAGTGTACAATACCATTAAAAGGAAGTTAGGATATCATTTTTTTTGTCTTCTGTGTTTTACATTGTTTCTTAAAACAGCAAATTAATTTTAAAAAATGTAGCGAGAGCGATACAGAATTTTTTAAAGATTGTCAAGAAACTGTATGTGACACCCATTTGGAAAAGTGGGATATAAAACCACCTCCACCCCCCAATTTCCACCCCAGCCCTGGCTTCACTGGGTTGCTGTGAAAATGCCCTCACTATTTTAGAGTTGCTGGGGGAACCCAGCCAGAGGGACGGGGTATAAGTAATAAAACTATTATTGTTTTATATTTTGTTTTCATGTGGAGAGGTTATAGCACAGTGGTTGAGCATATGCCTTTGCATGCCCCAAGTCTTGATTTCTGTTCAGCTTCAGGACAGTAGCAGATCCCATACTTTGCAGTTCTTGGGTTCAGCCCCCAGCATACCTGGTTCAAAGACTCAGTCAGCAGAGGGTGGGAGAGATCTCTTTCCACCTTGGGGAGATGCTGTCAATCAGTGCAGACAGTAATGAGCTAGGTGGACCAAAGGTCTGATACGTTAGCTTCATATGCTCAGTGTTGGTTGTGTTTTCACAGCATGCGCTGCCAAGCCATTCTGTACATGGCAATGTTTCGCTACAAGAAGGACACAGCAATAAAGTATTCCCGGACCCTTATTGAACACTTCAAGGTAGAGAATGAAAACGTTGTGGGTCGTATTTTGGCAGGGACTTGGGGTTGGTTCTAACTCAGCTTCAGAACTTGATTTAAAAATAAAAACAGAAGCTTTGTGACATCAGTCTTTGGGTCAGATCCAACAATAGTTTGTGGGCATTTGCACTGAATACTCTGCTTTATTTACATGAGCAGCATAATATTGAAGCGGCAACCTCATGGAAGATCCTAGCTCCCTTTTGGTGTCTCCACCACCACCACCCCGCTTGTGTTGTTCCTTTTTCTCTTTTATTACAAAAGGATAATAGGGATCTTGTAAATCGCTCACAAGGTAGTGTGCTAACATGAGGATACCGCTGTATAATCTCGCCAGTGGACATACTGTCAGAACAGACTCTTGGTTCTAAGTTCAGAAGTAACACTGCTAGTCTAATAAGCAAAAGATTTATCAGACCCAGAAGGATTGTGCCTGCATTACTTTCCCTCCCGTTCTAGCCTCCCTTCTCTTGCAAGACTTGCCGCAAGACTTCTGATTTGTTGAACCACAGTTTCCCAGCACGTTAAAACTACAGTTCACAAATCAGGATTGCAAGCTGCAATTTGATCCTGGTTTGCTAGACCAAAGTTTCCCCAATTTGGACGTAACAGGAAACTGTGTTTTAACAAACCCTCAAAGATTTGCATTGAGGCAAGTGAATGAGGGTGTGTGTAGGCACAACACTCGTTCTCATGTCAGACAGACCTCAGGTTACCATTGTTTACCTTACTCAATTTAGACAATTCTCTTAGAAGAGATAGACCTCAAACAATATGAATACATAGCATCTTACAAGGCGTAGTTAAAAATGCAATGTTGGAACTGGTTGCAAGTTGGTGTCAAATGTGAACTGAGTAGAATTCCATTCCTTGTTTCAGAGTTCTTCTAGAATTACACAAGCACCTTCTCCGTGTGTTGCCAGGTAATACTGAAATCTATATCACCCTTCCCTTGTTACAAAAGCTTGAAACCTGATTTTGAAATAATAAAAGTTTCACGCTGTACCTACATGGAAGTTTAAGGCTGGTTTAGTGTCAAGAGGGTGAATTGGGGATTTCTGATGGCTTTTCCTCCTGAAACTTGTAACTATACTTTTAGGCTCCAAACCTATGCCACTTATTTAGAAGGTTCACTGAACAGACTAGGAATGGCTTCTGAGCAGATGTGTAAAAGATGGCTCTGCCATCCTTTCCCCTCAAGTCTGATCTGTCTATTAATGTGATGGAACAGATATTGGGCTGTGGAACTCTTGGCCTAGATCCCACTAGGCACTAAAGTTCACTAGATGGAAAGCACACTTGCTTAAGGCCTTCTCTTCCACCCATTTACATTGCTGGTGGTTATATAGGAGGCGCAATTTGAGTCTTGCCAGTTTAAATTTAATGCCACAACAGCCACTGCCACTGAGTGGAGTTTCAGCTCCTCAACTGAAATTAGCCACCCAGTGAACCACTGCTCCCCTCAGCTGATAGGAACACTGCTTAGTTAGACCACTCCTGTCAAGAGTTCCTTGCAGAAGCTGTGGCAAATGAGACTTGAAACTGGCTGTGTTTGCCTCTTATGCACAATAAGGCAATGAATGACTGATTGTATGGCGGTGGCTCCAACTGTTCAGGTTCTTAGCTGAAAAATGCATATTAACGAACAAAGCAAGTATTCAGCCTTGGGGTCTGAGTGTACAGTGGAGGGCATGTGTGTGAGAAGAACAGAATGCCAGAACACGTCTTTCCATAGATGTCTTTTTCAGAAAAGGCAAGTGGGACCATTGCAGTTCCCAGCGCTTCTGTTTAGTATTCCAGTTGGCCATGGCTTCTCCCAGGACATCCCATTCCATTCTCCCCCCAGCCCTGGCTCTCTGTTTGCTTAAAGATAATGAAACTCAGCTCCTGAATTCACTGATGGTATATATGGCGATTCTTGTGTTTTGTCCTTCAGGAGTATAGGCACACCGTCCCCTCTTTCCCCGATGCCCTCTCCAGCCGGCTCTGTGAGCTCCCAGACAGGTTCCAGCGCCAGCAGCTGCGGAAGTGGAAGCATTGGCTCCTCGGTCAACGTTCCCTCACTTTATCCCAACCATCACTTCTTCCTTTGTTGGCATCACTTCTTATATTCTCTATGCCTACGATTTCTGGGAACAAGCTGATGTTTTGGCCAGGAAGAATAAGAGTAAGGCTTTTTGTTTTCCTGAGTTTCTACTGACATAGTCCATGCAGCACCCTGAGGCTTTGCTTTTCCTCAGGAGGCCTATTTTGCACATTATTTGGCAAGATTGTTATGGAGAACCGCATAAATAAGCTCAGTGGCATCTGGGACCTAAGGCAGAGGGCCATTCCCAGTTCTGCTACCTGATACCCTGGTAGAGCTGCTGCCAACCCAAAAGGCAAATGAACAGTAGTAACTGTTTCTGCCTGCCCTTTGAAATAAAATACCTAGCAGTTAGTTTCATCTAGCACTGGTCAGAATGCATGGGATCCTAAAAGACAGAAGAAAAGACAAATGTGGCAGTCATTAAGTAAGCAAAGCAGGAGATTAATTTTAGGTGGTCTCTTGGTAAAGAGCCAATGCAAGTCAAATTAGGTAGAGTTATCTTATGGCTGGTGGACATTTAATCTCTGATCCTCCAAAAATTGAAATGACATGTTCAGGCTCTGCTTGTCTCTGGCGACAACCTTGGGGTGCAGAATATCTGCAATGTTGTCTAATTCACTTCCTGTTACTGGGAACTTGTCACCAAGATTTATCGGGTGAGGGGGGTTATAGTCACCTTTCTTTGCCCCTTGATAATATTCCTAGGAGGCAGAATAGTATGTTCTCCATGTTCTTAAAAAATAAGAAAACAAAATCAAAATCATGTACCAGGGAAAGCTGGATTCAGTATGAATCAGAATGAGTACATAAGTATGTACATAATTCATATAATGTACTTTGTTTCTCAGTCATACTGTGAAGCAAGGAGCTCTGCAGGGTGCTGACCCCCCCAAAAAAATCTTTTTTAGCATCCAAGCATACCTTTCTTAATCTCCATCTGGACTAGGAAGATGTTTTGGGGTTCGAATGCAAGCTGAGATTCCTGTGAAACTGAATTTTGCTCCTAATACCAAGTATTATGTGCTGTGAGGTACCCTATAAGACTCACTTTTTCCCTCCTAAAAAGTAAGGGGGAAATGTGTGTGCATCTTATGGAGCGAATGCAGGCTGCACAGCTATCCCAGAAGCCAGAACAGCAAGAGGGGATTGCTGCTTTCACTGCACAGCAATCCCTCTTGCTGTTGCTGGCTTCTGAGAGTCAGAATATTTTTTTTCTTGTTTTCCTCCTCCAAAAACCAAAATAAAAATACGGTACTTTCAGCTAAGCATTTAGGCAGCTTGAACAATGCCTCCTATATTTCTGGCCGAACCCTTCCATGCCTGAGCTGTGCAGACTGCAAGGAGCCAAACGTGTGACGCCAGATTTCCTCTTTTCTCTTTCTCTCACCTCTCAGAGTTTTTCTCCGAGCTCAGTGCTGCCGCCTGCCCCTCTCTCGCTGAACAAGCAGTATGATCGAACTGTACACTAACACCCGCCAGGGTTTGCAGTGGCTGAGACGGCAACCAAGTACGCCTTAACTGGTGCTTCGAGGCGAGAGAACCCTTGCCTGGACTCTTTGCACTTTTGAAAAGCCTCCGGAAAACAGCCTGGTTGGCTGGCTTGTTGGGATTTATAAGCACCTGGAACAAGGAAGGATGGAGCTTGGTGGAAGGGGATCTGGCGCCACTGGAAAACTTTAAGGACTATATTTGCTGACGGGTGCCAATAGGCCAACCTGGAAGATAAGAAGTGGAGAAGAGGCCTCAAAAGTGGAGGGTGCCTTTCTTTCTTTTCTTTTTTTCAAAGGACAAAGTGCAATGTTCTCTTTGTCATTTCTCTTTTTCCCGTCATGGTTTCAATGTGTCAATGGTCTATAAACATTTCGTTACATGAATAACCAGCAGGACAAAAAAAAAAACAAAAAATGGGGGGGGGGGGAAAGTACACACATGAAGAAGTGCCGGTGAGAAGGAAAACCGTCTCCCAAAGAATTTTCTGCAACACCTCAAAGGATGCAACGTCCATGGGCTCAGCGTAGGCTTCAGCTTTGTTTGCCTCTCTTCTCTCCCCCCCTTAAATGTAAACCACAAAATGCAATCTGTAGCATGTATTCTTGTTCCTGGAGGGCGGGATGGACAGAGACTCACAAAGGAAGCGGGGTGATCCAGCAGTACGAGCCCAACTTCGTTTAAATACAAAATGGCAAAGCTATCTTCCTCCTTCCCTCCCTCTCTCTCTCCACTTGCCAGCCGTAGCTATTTGTTGCACTACTACCCTTCCCCCCCCCCTTTGATGGGTGGGCTTGTAGCTTGTGTCAGGCACACCCAGATTCTGTAGCTGGCCTGCTCAGCCCCTGCCTCTGCCCTGGTTTCCTTTCTACCTGTGCTGACAGTAGTG